TGGCCATCTCACCTAGAGAGATTTAGTGTTATCCTGAGGCCCAGGATTAATTAAGTCCGAAGCTGTGGCTACCAGTGCTGGCTGACAGGAATTCCAGGTACCGGGAGTGAGCGAAAAGCTGAACCTCGCTTTCCCCGCTTACACCAGGCCCCCTCAGAGCTCTTGTCCTTCCAGTACTTGAGAAGTGGAAGCAGAAGGGTTGTTAGGAGTTCAAGACAGATCACCCTCAGCCTTTCTAGACATTCTAAGCCAACTGGAACTCTGTGGGGACCCCCTCTCACCTGGCCCACTCACCCTCTCCTGGCTAAGAACATCAATGTAGCGATGGGGGAACTGAACCCCATTACACCTTTAAAAACCCAGATATGTCTGATTAGACCCCTGGTGGAGAAAGAAACATAGTGTTGGAGCTCCACAGTTTGTTGGCAATTAACATAAACTGATAAGGCTGCAGCCTCCATCTTTCCCCCTCCACACCCTTGTGGGCCCCTGACTCCTGGTCTCTAGGCACCTAAACTCACTCCCCTAGCAGCTCCTGCTCAGCCCAGAGCTGAGTTTTCACAGTGGGTAAATTGATGAGGGAAGACTCCCCTGAATTTGGACAGCAGGTTTCATGAGAAAGCAAGCTGTGCAAGCGTGTCCCTCATTTCATCCTCTCAGCTCTTCGTGGGCATGACAGATGTGATGCGGTGACCGTTTCAAATGACTGTGAGGGACCACAACTTGGAACTGTGGGCTAAAATACTAATTTATCATAACAACAGAAGTGAAATAAGGACACTCAACCAGTGCTGGATGTTTTAGGATGTGGGTCTCCTAATAATACTTCCTTTGCAATTCTTTCCATACTGTGTAATGCCATATTTGTAACTTTGTGTCTTTCTGCCAGACTGTAAATCTGTAAGTGTAAAAGGCACACCTCTTGTTTGGCCACTATATTTCTATTACCTGGTGCAGGGCAAACAGTACATACAGGTCCGTGGACAGATGAATGGATGCTTGAGAAATTCAATGTCTTACTCCAAGAAGCAAATGGCATTGCTTTCATTTGGCCAAACTAAACTCCAAAAAGGCAGCAAGCAGATTGGTTCCTTTTCACATTGCCACACCCTTGGCATCTTGACCAGTTTGCCTGGCACACAGTTGCCTTAAATATTTGCTGAATATCGACTATGCTTAGATATGATTCCAGAGATTTCTCATCCAAATCCACTCCTCCACCTCTCTGGGTACCTGAGTGATCCAGCTTCTCTGTGTGGAGGGAAGTTTGACAGTAGCCATTGTGGGGCTTCACCCATCTGTGTACGGGTTTAAAGGGCATCCAGGTGTTACCAGACATCAGTCACTGCTCTGTGTCCCATTCCCCCATGCCACACTACACACTGATGTTGCAATCCACACTGCTGTCACTGAATAATACATTGAATAGCAGTCAAAACAGTTCTCCCTGCTTTGTTTAACCATTTTCAAACCCAATTGTGTATTTATTAAAAAAACAAAACAAAACAAAAACCCCACCTAGTTGATGAGAGAGACGGTGGTCATGGGCATGTTGTAACCCTCAAGTGTAAGATTAGAGGACAGTTTGCAGGAGTCAGTTCTCTGTGGTTTCCAGGGATTGAACTCAGGCTGTTGGGCGTGTACAGCAAGCACTTTTGCCTGCTGAGCCGTTTTGCTGGATCTGTTCATCTGTTCATTTCTAAGCCATCAGAAATTCAGTGTGACTCAGTGCTTGAGCTCAGGCAATGCCATTTTCCCCTGGCAAAGATGACCTTGACTTTCTTGATCCTTTTGCCTGTACCTCTGGAGTGTTGTGATTTCAGGCATGAACCACCATGCCTGTTTTATGGTGTTACTGTGGATGGATGGAGTGTAGGACTTTATGTGTAGTGGGCGAGCATTCTACCAATGGAGTAACACCCCATTCCTGCTCATGGCAGTTTTTAGTTCCACTCACTAAGTCAGCCTCCTTAAAATCTTCAAATTTGGGTCAGTGACATAGCTCAGCCAATGAAAGTGATGCCGACAACCAGAGTTTCATCCCTGGACCCATGGTGGGAGAAGAGCACTGTGTCCTGAAAGGAGTTCTCTGCTGCATGAGTCAATGCTGTACCCAGTGTGAACCTGTGTTTGTGCTCACACACATGCACGCACACATGCCTTAGCCCAGAGTAGGTTTTTTTCTAAGCAGCTCCTTTCAAACCTGGGTTTCAAACCATGGTGTTGTCAAGGATTTGGTTGAGTAGGCTTTCCACAGCTAATCCCTGTATTTACTTACCCACGTGCTTTGCTGGATCCCAGGAATGTGCAGCAGCCAGCTCAGATTAATGGCCTCTGAAACCCACAGATTTAGCGGCACTTTCTTCTTCTTTTTTTAATCCGTGATTCTCTCCTCATTTTCTTCTGTTAATTTGTGGTGCTCACAGCTTTCATTTCCTCTCAGCCAAGCACACCGCCTTGAAGCTTTGAATGGTGAGCAGAGAGACCACTCTACGGTAGCCTCCAAATTGTTCATAAAGTCATATAGCTCATGAGCCCAGAGACATTAGATGATGTCACAGAGGGTCAACAGCCCCTGGTCCTTTGCTAAGTGGATATACAGACCCTTACAGGAAAGAGGGGCTGGTGGTTCCTGGTTTTTATTTCAAAGCTTCAACTTTTGGAAGCCTAGCTCCACCCAGCATTCTGCAGAGGGCCCCAGCATTCCTTGAGTGTCGGCTGGAGGGTTCCAGCCAGGTGGAACCCATGTGATTCCCTCTCTGTTCTCCTGTGTCCCGAACTCTGTCACCACACCGGGGAGATTAGACAAAAGTCCTCTGCAGCTTGCTTTCTTTTTGAACAAGTTCTATTAAAGGGGGACTTCAGTTCAAAGAAGCTCCCTGTTTGTTCACCACAGCTGTGTGGAGTTCCAACTTGTCTTGGACTTCCTCAGTGATGTCTTGAGATCCGGTGTGAACTTGCTGTGGTTTGCCTTTGGGCATCAAACTGTTTAGCTTGGCTCGATTATATAATAATTACATAATTGCCCAATATTCTTGTCAGCAATTTGCAGTCCGTATTTTTAATAGAACTACTTGCCTTTCTTTCCACGGGTTCCTTCAGAACTGGTATAAGCTCCTGGATTAATGCAGCCCAGCCCCACAGGCTCCGTGCAGACGTGGGCAGAGTGGCATGAGTCCTGTGCTGCTTGTGGTCATTCGCTCCATAAAAACCTTCATGTAAGACACATCTTCTGACTGTTCCTTATGGGTTTTGCTTTACTAAAATTGCTGCTAGTGTTTGTTGAAATGTTGTGTCCTTTGAGAGGGGTTTTTTTTTTTTTTTCATTATTAACCCATTTAGGAAATCTAGTTTTTCAAAGAGGAAAAACTGGGACAAACTTTGTTGTTGTTCAGTTCTTAAGTTAATAGATATTTTCGTAAATCTGTCTGGTGCACCATTGAATGATAGTGAAGGAAATGTGAGGCTTCAAGGGGAAGCTGAGGTCAATTTCGTGGCTTCCAAATCAGTTTTCTAACTTAGTCAGCATCACACCGCTTCTAACTAACTGAGCATTGTGCCACTCACCGGGCCTTCATCTCAGCCTCACTGGCCACTTTTTCCTGCCGGTGTCAGGCTCTTTCCTGTAGATTCTCCCCAGTGCAATAAACAAAACTTGCTGAGCAGTAGCTAAGAATTACATAAACCGTCACACTCTAATCTTTTTAGTTATCAGTGAGAAGACCTTAAAGAGAGTGGAGTAGTGATCAAAGTAGCTAGCACTGATTGATAGGTTAATAGATTGATTAGTTGCATATAATCCATAAGTCATTTTTCACACATTTCAAACAAGACAACAAATCTCTCCCAAACATACATTTAAAAATCACAAAACTCAACTGGGCATGGTGGCCCACACCTTTAATTTCAGAATTCAGGAGGCAGAGGCAGGTGGAGAGTTTCTAGCCAGCCTGATCTACAGAGTGAGTTTCAGAACTGCACAGACTATGCAGTAAGATCTTGTCTCAAACAAACAATACAGGCACACACACACACACACACACACACACACACACACACACACACACTACTACTACTACTACTACTATTTTAGCTCTAGACAGGAGTGGGTTATAAAGAACCTTCTAGATCACCTGGCCCAGGACTAAGTTCATCTTCTACGGGACAGAGGAGCAGTGAGGGTTTTTCTCCTTTTTAATGTTGGTCGAAGAGGTGAAATAAGAGCTTTGTTCTTTTATCTCTCACCCACCCCTCTCTCTGTGTATGTGTGTATGTGTTCCGGATCAATTCTCAGTGTAATTGATATTGGTGATAACACTGCCATTTTGACACAAGGCTCACTTTCTAAGAACTATTTCTGCTTGCTGGCACTTTGAGCTATATGTCCAGTGTGTCACTGTTTGATGGCATTCTGAGCTGCATGCCCAATGTTCATTGACTGTTTCAGTAAGTGCAATGTAACTGCTGATTTGACAGGTGACCTGGAGTGTCGGTAATGGGCCTAAAATCTCTGCACAGAACCAAAGATCTACTAGAGTGTGTTGGTACATGCCTGCAATACTAGCCTTTCGGGGAGACTGAAACAGGGGGGCCTTTTGAACCCCAGAGTGCTGGGCTAGCCTGGGAAACATAGAACCTGTCCCAAACAACCCCTTTCAACTCCCCAAACGTTTAGAATGTCAAGTGTAAGCATGTCACCTTCAAAACTATTTTCTGTGAAAGTCTTTGTTAGATAATCCCCAACCCTTGCCCTGGTTTGTCTAAGTGCTGTCCTGGTATTTCTCATGACAAATTGTTTCTCTCCAGTACTTCTCAGAAATTCCCCATTTAACTTTTAACATTTAATGTGTGCTCATTTGTGAAATTTCAACACTGCTTTTTCACTGAAATTTGTTTATTTTTATAGGCAATTTGAAAATTGCAGAGAGGGATTTTTAAGGCCACATCTGACTTGCCAAGTTCATCTTTGATCTGAAAAAACCAAAGCTGCCTGACTGGAGGGGACTGACTCTGTTGGAGAAATGGCAATGACGTCTCACCACATGATCACCATGTTTGCCCTGATGAGCTCCTGGGCTTCTGCAGGTAATTCTCATTCTGAATTGCTTGCTTCGTATCTTTTCTTGAATGCCTGTTTTCTTTTCCTCCACACTCTCTTTGGTTAGAAATATTTAGGCCATGCTATCTTTTTGTAAAACATGAATATTTTATGTTCTTTAGGCAAATACAATCCAGATGCATAGTACGTTTGCCTATGTTACAGTTCACTAGACTGGGGTTAGACATTCTAAAGTCACCAAGTGGAAACCCAGCTAACCTCTGCTGAGGCAGGCAGACAGCAAGGAGCACCACCTGATATCGTTACATGCATAGATGATATCGAAATAAGAATTTCACGGTTCTTTTTATTCTTTTCAAGGAATATCCTTGCAAAACAAATAGATCTTCTATATAGGGTTAGCACTCTTATGAGATTTGGGGAGGAACGTGTTTAGTTTCTGTGGCTTCAGATATATGAACAAGAACCCTTCAAGAAGAAGAGGGAGGTCTAGAGGTGGGTCAGAGTGCTTGTCTTGTCTGAGTGAGGCCCACACTGCCATCTCAAGCTGAAGGGAAAAAAAGAAGGGGGGGAGGGAACTTTGTGTTTCCTGGAGACCATCAGAGTGTAAGGGTGGTGTGAAGGGGAACAAGCGGCTGTGTTAGGAATATCATCCTGCAGCCAGCATCTTGGTGCTTCATGTCAAGGCCACATGACAAATTTGGGAGGTTTTGTTCTATTTTGTCGCCATTTGCTCTACGAATATTTTGCAATGTGTTATACAAAAGCAGTTCATTGGCTCAGTTCTGGGAACCAGCAGTCCTCAACAAGAACAGCATCGACTTAAATATGTACTACAGTCAGCCACTGAGCTAAATAAGCATAGTATTAAAAAAAAAAAAAAAAGAGTAAAAATACCTTAATTTAATAAGCTCATGTGATCAAAACTCTGAGCGAGGTGCAATTATTTGTGACATTTTGTAGGAGATAAAATGAAAGATGAAGACACTTAGTTCATCTACACAGACTTGTTTAGCTGGGGCATGGAGAGTCCAGAGTCTATGTCCCCATCTCACGTGGATGGAAGATAGTATCTGACCACAGAGGCTTCGCAGACAGATGGGGCTGTTTGCAGACAGACCGTGGGGAGGCCAGTTGGCAGAAATCAACGTGTAAGACTGGGGATCAGAATACGGCCCCCCACTGTTGCAAACATTTTGAAAGACAGTTGTTTTTCTTTTAAATGCCAGTGTGTGAACTTCAGCTGCCCAATCTGTTAGTGTGACTCTCTGTCAGCAGTCTCATTTTATGTCATCATTGAAGAGTTATTTGCCTTTCAGTGTGTGCATTCAAATGAATCTTTTCTTTCCCTCCCTCCCTCCCTCCCTCCCTCCTTCCTTCATTCCTTATTTTATTTGTTTATTTTTGAGATGGTCTCTCTATGTAGCACAGGATTGCCTGGAACACACAGAAATCCACTTACCTCTGCCTCCTGAATGGCAGGATTCAAGGTAGCTACCAGCATGTCCAGAAAAAAAAAAAAAAAAAAAAAAAAGATGTTAACATTGAAATGAACTAAGAGGGAGGGAAAGCACACAAGCTGTGATAAGGCATGGAGCTGTGCTAGGTACATGCAGAGCACATGTCAGACAAAAACATTACTGAAGGAGGGAGCTGCCTCATGGGAACGTGGGGGTGTGATCGCTTGTGCAGCTTTGATAGTTTTGATAGTGAATCAGTCTTGCCAAAGACTGCCTTTCTCTTTCAGACCATCAGGGGAGAAAAATGTACTTAGTCATATATATAAAATGCACATATATTATACACATATGTATGTTATATATATGTGTATATATGTATATCCAAAGCTTTGCAGAGTAGAAAATACAAGAGCCACAGATTTTACACGAACCATGGGATGCCTGGTGTGTCTTTGTTTTCCTGATGTGTGTGCATGAGTGTGTGTGCACATGTATGTGTATATCTAGGTCGGAGTACAACTTCAGAAGACACTTTTCAGGCTCTGTGCACTTTTTGCTGAGACAGGCCCCTCACTGGCCCAGAACTCACCAAGTAGGCAGGGTTGGCTAGCCATTTGATGCTGAGCCACTCATCTGACTCTTTCTTGAAATGTCAAGGGTTACAAGTGTGTGCCCCCACACACAGCCTTTTAGAATGTGGGTTCCAGGGACTGTCTGGGGATTGAACTCAGGTCATCATACAAGACAAGCATTTTACTGACTGAGCACTAACCCCTAGGGAGGCATTTTAAGTAGAGAAGTTTGTTAATTGGTGTCATTTTGCTCAACCTAATGGGACTAGATGGAGGGAAAATAGTCTTGCTTGTGCTGATATATGGTGGCTCCCTCCTTTACCCCTCATATAGCCCAGACTGACCTCAAGTGTGCTAGTAACTGAGGACAACTTTGAGCTTCTGACCTTCCTGCCTTTACATTTAGAGTGCTGAATTATTTGCATGTGTCCCTGTGGCCAGTTTATATTGTGCTGGGATGAATCCCAGGACCTCATATGTGCTAGGCAAGCACTCACCGACTGGGCCACATCCCAGCCCTTTTATTAGCTCTCCAAATAGACTTGTTTTGCTTCACAAAACGCTTTTGGGGGTAGCCTGGTGGAGTTGAATCCCAAGTGCCTTCTACATATTATAATTTCATCTCTAGAGCAACCTTAAGAACACTTTGTTTATCCCTATTTCATAGACGAGGGAACAGAAATACAGGAAGGTTGGGTCATCTTCTCAGGGTTACACTGTTTACAGAGTCAGCCATAGGTTTTCTTTGAGATTGGTGATTGAACCTGGACAATTCTGTGTTATGACAACCTGGACAGCATTTGCTTTTGCTTTGGTTTCTCTGTTGTTACCATTTGAAACCGAGTCTTACTTTGTATCTCTGGTTGGCTTGGAATTCACGGTGTAGAGCAGGCTGGCTCTGAACTGGCACAGATCTGCTGGCCTCTGCCTCCTGTGTGCTGGGGTTAATGGTGTGCACCCCCCACACCCCACCTGAAAGGCATCTGAGGGAGTGATGATGGGTTCTCCTTGAGCTACCCATACCCTCATTTTATCGTATATTAATTCTGTAGAACATTTGTACCCTTTTGAAACGTCACTCACAGTTTCTGCCATGTACAAGCACAGTGAGAGGTGGCGGTCTGCAAAGGGGCACACACTTCATTGCTTCTCTCAAGTGCTTGAATTTTAGTTAGGCTAAATATAACCATACAGCAGAGTAGTCAGAGCTGGGAATTACCTCTAATCAGTCCTAGCACTTGGGAGAGGAAGACAGGATAATCAAGAGTTAAGGTTATCCTCAGCCACACAAGTCTGGGCTATCCTGGGATACATGAAACTCTTGTTTTAAGAGTAACAACAAAAATCCGTGTGCGAGGAATGCCCAGAGTCCCCATGGCTTTACTGAGGGGACTCTTGTGTGCTCTGTCCTGAAGGCTGGGCGGGATCCAGGAAGGGGAAGAAGGCCGATGAGTTGAGAATGTTTGGAGTGCTTGGAGGGTGTCTAAGCTAATAATTGTATCCTATTGTAGCAACCATCTTCAAGATGCTTTCTCTGCTTCCCATTCCACCCAAACCTCCCAGCAGCCTCTGGGGCAGGTGACACAGATCTGTTCATTTAATTAATCCTTACAGAAAACGCATGATCTTGGCATTTAACATCGCCACTGCCTCTATGGCCAATATTTTAACTCATGTTACAAGTGAGAAGGCCAATGTGGGGAAAGTTAAGTGCAGATACATTGAGAAATAAATTCATAAACTAATGTACAGCCATATGGTGAGAGGGGTAGAGAAGTATTGACCAAAGTTCCATGCCCTTGGAAGTATAGGCAGATAGATGAGGTGTTCAAGGTCATTTTCAGTTATATGACAAGTTCAAGGCTAAGGCTGGCTTGACCACATGACACCAACTCAAACAAACAAACAAATAGTTCAACTCCCAAACAAAACAAAACACAACAAAAACAAGAAACCCAGAGTTTATACTTTTTCTGTTATGTTGTCCCAAAGATACTGACACTCAATTTTATTTTTTATTTGACAATTAAGATATATTTGCGAGGTCCAATATGACCGTTTTGTTTTGTTTTAGGTTTTTCGAGACAGGGTTTCTCTGTTTTGCTTTGAGGTTGTTCTGAAACTTGCTTGGTAGACTGGGCTGGCCTCGAACTCACAGAGATCCACCTGCCTCTGCTTCCCTAGTGCTGGGATTAAAGGCGTGAGCCACCAATGCCGCCCATCGCATGTGACATTTTAATATATGTATAGTATGTGTATTTATATTATGAGATGACATATTTAATATTTGAATTGCCTGTCCTAATTTATATGTGTGTGGTGTATGTGCCTTGGTTGGTATGTGGAGATCAGAGGACAACTTGTGGGATCTAGGTCTCTCTTCCTATCCTGTGGGACCTGGAGATCAAACTTAGATAATCAGGTGGCAGCAAGCACCTTTAACCACTGAGCCATTTTACTGGCCCCCACATTTACCACTGTTTTGTTTGTGTGGTAAGAACACTTAGAGTTTGCTCTCAGCAATGTAAAAAGAATTAGTGTGTTGTGTGTGCATGCATGTGCCACTGGGAAGTGTGACCAGAAGACAACTTGCAGGAGCCCAGTTTTCTTCTACCAGGCGAGTTTCAGAAATCAAACTCAGATTATCAGGTTGGGCAGCAAGAACTTCAGTGGTCCCGCTGAGCAATATTCTGGCCTTTACCCAGCAAGTGGCATTCACCATACATCATGACTGATTACAGTCACCATGATACTTTGTTGCCCTTAAACCATTTCCTCCTGAGATTTTGTAGCACTTGACTAATGTCTCCACAGTCCCCACCACAGCCTCAGGAACCACTATTTGACTCTGTTTCCATGAATTTGATCATTTATGTTTTGTATGAGTGAGATTGTTCAGTATCTGTCTTGCTTATTTCACTTAATGTAACATCCTCCAGGTTTATCCGTGCTTCAGGGCAGAGAAGATTTCCTCCTTTTTAGACCTGAGTGGAC